GCGATTTAGAAAAGCAGAAACACGGCTTTTACCCCCCCTTTGGTAAAAGCTGGCTATGCCGTTGTGTATATGTATGTACATGCATATGAGGATAGATAGCGCCTGCACCAAAAAATAAAATGTACATTTGTATGTACATATCAACGTTGCCAGACGTTCCGATTTTTAAATAAAAATTAAATATCCCGCGCGGGACAGGCTCAAAAAGCTGACAAAGTGTAGGTGAGCACGAAGAAGTGGTTTTAGAGAACTTGGTTTATGTACAAGTATTTAACTCTGAGAAAGAATACAGAATAAACTGTGTGGTATTTTTGTAACCTTTTATTAAAGAGTAGAAGAAATAATTATGATATATGTATGTATGTATATACACATATGTGTGTATGATCATTTGTCAAATGTTGTGCAGTTGCATAAGTTGACCAAATAACGTTGCCAAATTGTACAGCTTTTAATTCTAGACATTACTTGCCTTGATCCCTTATCCCTTTCATACCATAATGTGGAAAAAAAAGGCTGTGGGAAAAAAAGGCTGTGAAAAAAGTGACAAAAAGTGCGTGAAAAGTGGCATGCATACTCATATGTACATTAAATTCAATTAAAGTTGCATGAGTGCCAGAAAAACGAGATCAGGCTACAAACCAAAGCCGACGCCAGTACCCACAGTTGCAAAGCCGAAGCCAGTGCGAGTGAGTCAGTTTATTCTAAAAGGAAAGGCGCCAGTAGTCTCAAGCCGTCAGTTTCAACGCGGTCGACGCTCACGAAAATGAATAACAAAGAGGACAAAGAAACCGTTACAAGTGAGCACGCACTGACAATATCATATGAGGCGATGTTGCCAGAAAGGTCAGAGGGAAACAGAGAAAAACAAGAGAAAATGCAAGAAGAAACGAATAGAACCGCAACACCCGAAAACAGCGTTACCATGCAACAACTAGTGCAACTATTGACCCTGAAATGCCAAACGGAAGACAGCAGCAAAGAAGAAGGCAAATTGGTGGTGAAAAGTATGTTCAGGCACGCGCCAAGATGACGCGCACAGCAGCATTGTTTTTGGAGTCTACGTTCATATACGAGTACAAATCGTTGCGTGAACAGGTGATCGATGAATTTCAACGAGGCAAACTTTGCAGTGCCGAAATTCACAAACAATTAAGTGCTCGCACAAAATGCAAAGATGAACATTTTCATGAGTATTTGTTGCAAATGAAGAGCATTGCAGCCCGTGGAGTGATGGATACTGAATCGTTAATTCGATATGTTGTGGATGGGCTAAATCTTAAAACTGATTTTAAATACAATACATCGTTCAAAGAATTGCGAGAGAAATATGAAGTTTACGAAAGTGTAGCGGAAACAAACGAGAAAGTGTACGCAGAGAGAAAACAGTTTGTACCAAACAAATACAACAACAAAAATGCAAATGTAAGGAAAGGAAGCAGCATTGTTTTAATTGTGGTGCAGTGGATCTTTTGCGCAAGGACTGCAAAGCTGAAATCAAGTGCTTTCGTTGCAATAAAACTGGGCATATGTTAACAGAGTGCACATCTTCGGCCGGCGTAAATGGTATATATGAAGCAAAGCGTCTCAGGGAGATAAAAATTAATGATGCAGTGGTCAACGCACTTGTCGACACCGGAGCAGACGTCTCAATAATGATAAAGGCAGCATTTAACAAAACCGGCGGCGCCAAATTGCAAAGCAACGTGGCTACACTTCAAGGCTTGGGCACTAACAGGATACGCCCGGTGGGTCAATTTCTAGCAGAGGTGGAGATCGACAATATGAAGGTGTTACACAAGTTCTTGGTAGTGGCTGATGGTGACATTGGATGCGACGCGCTGCTTGGGTACGACTTTCTATCAAAGTTTAATGTCACGGTGACGGCGGCTGGATTTAAGTTTTCTCCCCCTGCTGGAGAGGAGACTCAGGAGAATATTCAGATAAGTATTTATAATGTAGTTGAGACAAATACTGATCCTGAAATACCTCCTCAGTTCAAATCTGCTGTACAGTCAATGATATCCGAGTTCAAGGCGACCGAGAAGACTGCTGACTGTCCGATCGAACTCAAAATAGTTTTGGAGGACGATAGCGGCGAATCCGAAGACGAGGAGGATCTTAATAAAGAAATGGGCGAAACCGAGGATGGTGCTGGAAAACTGGACGAACAGATTTGGGGTGACAATGAAGAAGAAGAAAAAAATGAGCAGGATGAAATTAATGATGAGGATCAAGGCAAGGGCACTAAAGACGAAAAGGATGCTCATAACGATTTGGACACAAAAAATGATGCGGCCAATGATTTGATATTGATGCAATGAAAGAAAAAAACCCGCCTGAAAACTTGGAGGACTTCGAGTATAAAGTGGAGCACAGGAGTGGAGATCGTCTTAGGCACGTCGATTGTCTGAGTCGCTACCCACAGCAAGTAATGGTGGTCACGTCAGAAGTCTCAGCCCGTATAAAAGCAGCTCAAGAAAAAGATTGTATGATCAAAGCTATTTTTGAGATTCTAAGCAGCCGCCCCTATGAAAATTTTAAAATCAAAGGAGGATTGCTATTTAAGTCGATAGAAGGAACTGATCTGCTGGTTATACCAAAGTCGATGGAGCGAGAAATAATTGTCGACGCTCACAATGTTGGACACTGGGCTGTTCAAAAAACAACGCACTTGATCAGGCAAAGCTATTGGATACCACATTTGGAAGGAAAAGTTGCTCATGTTATCGCCAATTGTATTAAATGTATTGTCCACAACAAACAGTTGGGTAAAAAGGAAGACATTTTTCATCCCGTCGAGAAAGGAGGATAGCCATTGCACACATTGCATGTTGACCATCTCGGACCTATGGACGCCACAGCGAAGCAATATAAATACATTTTTGCTATAGTCGACGCATTTACTAAGTTCGTGTGGCTGTATCCGACAAAGACAACAAGCTGCGAAGAAGTTCTTAAAAAGCTCGACAGCTGGTCGGAAATCTTCGGTAATCCCAGTCGCATCATCAATGACCGAGGGTCTGCCTTTACATCTTCAGCTTTCGAGGAGTACATGAGCAAAAATGGTATCGAGCATGTTTGAAGCACCACCGGAGTGCCCAGAGGAAACGGCCAAGTAGAGCGCGTTAACGGGTCGATACTACAAACCATATCCAAGTTGTCATCAGAGAGTCCTGAAAAATGGTTTAAATTTGTGGCTAGAGTACAGAAGGTCATAAACAGCACCATTCATGTATCAACGAAGAAGTCGCCATTCGAACTCATGTTTGGCGTAAAGATGAGAACTACGGCCGAAAATGAGGTGTTGTAACTGATGGAAAAGGAGATATGCGACAACTTTGATGAAGAAAGGCAGAAAATAAGACAAGCAGCGAAAGAGGACATACAGAGAGCACAGGAAAGATACAAAAAGCAGTTCGATAAAAAGCGGAAGAACGAATATGGTTATAAATTGGATGACCTAGTCGCAATCCGCCGAACACAATTCGTAGCTGGGAGAAAAAATTAACGTAACGGGCGATATGAAGTGCGCAAGGCTGCAGACGTCGAAGGGCCGAACAGCACTGCAACAAGTTGCGATAATATGCGGCTTTGGCGCTATATCGCAGATAACGAAGACTCGTGGGAAGATGGGAAGGCAGGATAGTGAGAATGGCGGAACACCTAGAAGCAGCATCGCCATCAGTACTCGATACTCATTTTGGTTGTAAGCAGTCAGTAGAAATGTACTTAGTTATCAGTAGTAAGATGTCAGCCGCACTACAAACACAGTCGTCAGCCGTAAAGAAAGAAGCAGAAGTCAGCAGTCAGAAGAAGAAGCAGAGAGAAGCCGTCAGAGAAGTCAGCCGTCGAACCAGAGTGCATTAGCTGCATATGCTAATATTCGCCATCATCATTTTACATTATATTCCTAATTTAAACTATATCATATATCTCGGTATCGTTATCAATAATAAACATTGCATGATACACAAGATCACATACATAGTATTTATTGTACCTTATGGCCAGCTCTCGAATCGTACCAAAGTAATTTGCTATTTGGGAAATTAAGTCTTTAGAAACTTTAGAGTGTCGGAAGAGAAATAGCATATAGTAAATAAACGTATAATTGGAAGCACAAATACTGCTAGTGTATGTATATAAGCATGTGTGTATGCTCACTAAATGTTGTGCAGTTGCATAAGTTGACCAAATAACTTTGCCAAATTGCCTATCATACTATACACATAAATATACATATTGTATGGGCATTTCATGCCTTTATACTTAAGTATAGATTTAAGTTTGTTGAAATAATCTGAATTGTAGATATAAGTTGTTTGAATTATTATTGAATTGTAGACTTAAGCCGTTTGTAAGTAATTAATTGTAAGCGCTCATAAATGTTAATTTGTAATAACAGCTGTTTATGTTAGTCTCTTGGTCGCTGTTAAGTTAATGTCCACATTATGTTATGCGTATGCTAAGCCTTGCATGGCTAGCAATAAAGCTCTTGAAAATTGGAAGTCGATTTGTGCAGATTATTTTATTTTGTTTCGGTGCTCTTCGGTGCATACATAAGCCAGTGCGTTCGTGCATATAAGTACAAGGGTTACTTATACATCTTTGGTTGGATTGTCGCGACGAGGGACCCCTTCACTTTTGCCTACCGGCAACTTTGGATGATCTGAGCGATCACATATATACATGCATACATATAACAATACATAGTATTTATTGTACTTGATGCCCTAGATCTCGAATCATACCAAAGTAATTTGCTATTTGGGATATGAACTCTTTAGAAACTTTAGAGAGGGTCGGAAGAGAAATATCATATAGTAAATAAACTTATAATTGTAAGCACAAATACTGAGTCAGCGAAGACGTGCCTGCAGTAACACGTATAAAATTTGATCATAATAATACACCTGTTTTTACACGGTCTTTTTTTACACAAGTGCATAACATTTGAAAATGTATTATAATTGTAAAGCATTAAATTTAATACTTACGATGAGTCTGGAAATGCAAATATCTTTATGTAAGTTTTTCGCCTTAGTGGACCAAGCCATCGTTGTAGTTCATCTGCCCAATTCATAACTGTACTCTTGGGACAAAGTACTAATACTTTGGTTGTATTTAATTCTTTGTAAGAAATAACTGTGTGAATTAGGGCGATTAGCTGTGGATACAAATTTGTTATCGCTTTGTATTTGAGAAAAACAATATTTAACAGATATTTACCTGGAGTGTTTTTCCTAATCCCATGCAATGAGCTAAGATGCACCCCGATCCAGTGTTTTTTTTTGAATGATCAATCCCACCATAACAAGAGTCATACATAAACTTAACTCCGTCTATTTGATGAGGTTTTAAATGTTTAACTATATCGTTGTCTACCTTAATAAATGTTTTCGTATTTTCTAGATAATCGAGTATGAAATCTGTTTTCTCTAAGCTTTCAGAAAATTTTTTTATTGCCTTAGAAAGTCTCGATTGCTTTTTGTCAAGCCTGCGTATTCTGTCACTTTCCAATTTTTGAGCAACTCTTGTTTCATTTGCAAGTTGGTCCATGCGTAACATTGGTTTTATGAATCTTGACTTCTCTTCAACAGGCTCTACTTCGATTGGTTCATCATCTGAATATTCACTTTCCGAACTAAGAATTATTTCTTCACTTTTATTTCTGCTTTCAGCTTCTGCAAGCATTATTTCTAAGGACTTTGGCTTTGATCTTTTCATGTGAATAAAACTTTCATTCCATAGTTCATCATTTCCGTCTAAGCACTTTTCCAACATTTTTTTTTGTTCAATTTGCAATTGATTGCTGCCTTTGGTATCATCTATCTTGTTAACTTCATTTACATCATGCTCGTGTTTATTGGATTCAAATTTGTCTAAGAATCTGTTCACAATATCTCGCTTGCATTCACTTTCCTCAGAAGACGATTCCATGGAGAGATTATAGTTGCTGTCACTTTGATCAGACAATCCAGAGTCGCTGTTTGATTCATTTAAAAGCTGAAGCTTTACTTGCTCATTATAACGTGAAAGATACTGATTCTCAGTCAGTAATTCATCTGCAACCTAAGAAAATGTAAAATATAGTCTTTAAATTACGTATGTATGGAATGTATTTTGTATTTGGGTGTCATGTCAAAATTTGAAGACGGACAAGTGATTTATTATACGCTATACCTAAAAGGTACAAGAGTATATTATATTAAGTTAGAAATGTAACAGGCAAAAGGAGGCGTGGCAGACATCACAAAGCTTATATATTCTTGATCAGCATGACAAGATGAGTAGATCTATGTCTGTCTGTCCGTCCGTATGAACACCTGGATCTCAGAGACTATAAAAGATACATACACGTACGATGTGCAAGTTTGTTTTTTTTTTGGCCAGGTCAGGTTCATGCACGCATCTTCATACCACAGCTGATTTTCGCTTACATTCATAATTCATGTGGGCTTGTTACCTTGTGTGTACTTGAAGAGTGGAGAATTTGACTTGGAAGACAAGCCTAGTATCTTCCAGAAGAAGAGCAGAGTTCAGCGCTGTCCAAACCCTTTCAAAATCGTAGAACAGCTTAATGTTATAGAGCGATACCGTAAAGGCTGAAAAGATGAGATAAACGCGAAGCTCCAAAAGCTCCAAGCCCAGACCTTGTAGAGTAGTTCAAAAAAACGGTGAATGAGATAAAAATCGGGTGGACACGAGCTGGAATAGCTAGGATCAGGTCATTTCCAAACTGGGTGCAAAGAGCCAGAGAGGAGTAGTCTATGCATGAAGTGCGGTAAGCACATAAAATACTTGTAAAAGAGTGAATAAATGATGATAAATTGCTGTGCATGCGTATACGCTGGACGTGAGCATGTTGGGCACTTAACGGGCTCCAGAAGATGCCCTGAACATGAACCTATGCGCTAATGAAAGTACTACAAGCAAATATGCACAGGAGTGCAACTGCATTCTCGCTCATAGAGCATATCGTGCTCGACAGAGACGCACATACTGTCACTGTCACCAACTGGTTCGAAGACATAACAGGCACCGCAACAATATGGCTACCTACCAAAAAAGTACGATTCGAAGCCAGAATGACCTATTGGGCATAGCTACAACATGCTGCCACTAAAGCCGCCAAAGTGACCGATACTCTAAGCAGACTGATGGCAAAGGTGGGCTGCCCGGTGCAAATAAGCGCAGACTAGTGATGGTAAGAACCAACTGAATTCTGCCCTATGGGCGCGAGATCTGGCGGAAAAGCCCTTCTTGGGGTGGAACGAACTGGCGCACTATGGTTGACTTCTGCGTTTCGCACGGTCTCGGAGTGATTCCCCACGACTTACTAGCACTGGCGCGAAAAAATAAATGGGAACCGAAGAGGGACAACATCCCGAGAGAGAGCGAGACCGATCTAAGGCGCCGAATTCTAGTTGACAAAATGCTTCACAGCGAAGAGAACGCAATAGCCAAATTTGCCGAAGGCATTCTGAGAGGGAAGAAAGGAGACCTGGATGTTGGCATAACGAGAGTAATCCGAGAAGCTAATGGATAAGGAAACGACACTGTTCACAGAAAAAACAAGACAAAGACGAGAGAGACGAAGAGAAAACAAAATCTTTGGCAGCTTGGACGTGGGTATATTAATGAGAGGAGTAATGAAGTAATGCGAATGCGTTCCCGAATTAGGTGTATTTCGTTTAATTCATCAACTGCATGTATGTATTTTGTTTTTGAAGGCTCTATGTGCCACTATGTGTCCACCGCTATTTTAATGTACCCTCGTGCAGCAATATTTTGTGAAATATGACCATTAGGAGAAAAGAAAGTTTATTTACATTTCAGAATGTACCGTTCGGTAGCTGAATTTTGTTCACCTTTATAATTTCAATTTCGCCAGCTGGTTTACTTGGAGTTAAGTTATTTGCGTTTCGTCACACAATGCCTTGCCGATACAGCAAACAAAACCCTCACCTTATGTGTATAATTTTAATAAAGTTCAGCGGCAAGCTGAACAGGCAGAAGGCGTGGCAGACCTCACAAAGTATATATATTCTTGATCGGCATGACAAGGCGAGTCGATCTAGCCCTGTTTGTCTGGTGATCGCAGAGACTATAAGAGCCTATATAGGAGACACAAAATGTTGCACAAAGATGGCTTATGTGTGTACGCTGAGCAAGTTTGTGTTATTTTTATTTTATTTTATTTTGGAAAATACTTTCAGTTTGTTATTATGAGTCCGTGTGCCAAGTTTCATAATGATAGGCCGATTTAACAGAAAGTTAATTTTTTTATTTATTTTTTATCAAATCTTCGCTCTCGGTAATATAGTTATTTAATTAATTACAATTAATTATTTTAATAAAGGCCCTAACTGTTATTGCTGGGTGGAGAGGTCTCTTCACCGGAGTCGTGTATGGTTAGCCTGCCAAGTTAAATTAAACTTGTGCAGGCAAGTCTATTTGGATGGTCCCGAAGCTTAAGCTGGTACATTGCTTTCACCTTGGCAATTTCATCTTTAACAGATCCCACATTTAAATCTTTCCGGATACTTTTATTCCGTTTGTACCTGGGTGCCCCATGGTTCTTCTATTGCGATCTCTAGATTATCTCTAAATTACTAATGGAAGCGTTTCTCCATAGTTCAGAGCCATATGTCCAAATTGGTTTGAGAACTGCCTTTTACAAAACTACTTTGCACTCCAGTTTTAGTGATGAACGCACGTTTATAAGCCAATGTAAATTACTAGCTTTTAATTTCAGTTGATTTCTCTTCGCTTCGATGTGTTTACGCCAAGCAAGCCGACTATCTAAATGGATACCAAGGTATATTACTTCGGTTTTTTGTTAATGTTGATGTGGTTTACAGACAATAGAGGACAGGTTTGTCTGTTTAGGGTAAAGGTGACACGAGGTGAGATGATAAGAGCTCTGTGGCTTAGTATCATCCGTAAATGTCAAAATTGTTGTATGAATGTTTGTCAGTATATCTGCTGTGTATATGATATACAGTGTCGGTCCAAGAACGCTTCCTTGGGGTACGCCAGCTTCAATTGGATGGTATTCAGAAAGGAAATCTTTGTATCTAACTGCTGGGAGTAATATTTTCGGAGCGACATCCAGAAAAACAGCGGAGCAAATTGGTGCATTGGGATTGCACTGTTGGTGTGTAGGTGCTGTTTAATGCGATTCAGGAGCAGTTTTTCGAATATCTTCGATAGGCACGGCAGGGGACTGATAGGTCTATATGATGATGGCTGAGACTTGTCCTTTCCGGCTTTATGGATCATTGTGATGACGGATTTTCTCCACTGCTGAGGATAATAGCCCCATTTCATCATGCTGTTGAAAATGATGGTGAGCGAAAATACTGCACAGCTCGGCAATTCAATGATCATTTTGGGGGAAATTAAATCGTTGCCCAGCGCTTTTTTTTGCTTTGAGGGTATCGTTTGCTGTTTGGGGAGAGTTGTTCCATGTAGTCCATTTGAGCTCGGTGTTTCTCATCTTGTAGGGCTTTGCTGCGCAGTAGATGGTTGGCCATTTTCAATCGCGCCTTTGATTCAGGTGGTCAGTGCGCTTGTCACTCGCGCCGAAGTCTTTTCTTATTTCGTGCCAGCTCTTCAATATGCCTGGGTACACGACTGCATTGGTAAAGTTTATAAGCTGTGATTTATGGAGTGGAATGTTTTGCCGCCAGTGACATTACAGTGACACTAATGCTTCAACTGAGGTATCTATGTCATCTCTACAGTAAATGCTTGAGCAGTCATCAATAAGGGACCCTGTATTTAACCCAATTTGTTTTTCTAGAAGGTAGAAAGTGTGGGCGTTCCGAGTACTGTGGATGTAACAGTAAAATCTATCAAGTCAGGCTGATTTGGATCTGTGGGCCAATATTTAGGCCAGCCCGGAGAAATAAGTCAAGCTTGTTTCGTGGTGTTATTATAGCGATATATAGTTGTCTTCCTTTTGGGTTGATGAGTCGGGATCCCCATTGTGTGTGTTTGGCATTGTATTCACCAGCTGCTATAAACCGGTCACCTAACAGGTCGAAGAATTTTGCAAATACTTCTTCAGAAACAGAGAAGCGCGGTGGGCAGTATACTGCGGACAGGCTTATGTAGCTGTTTTGAGTTTCGATTTGAATTGTTGTGGCCTGTAGATAAGTTATAGAAAATGATGGCAACGGATAGTGCCTGATGCGACGCTTTATCAGGAGACCAGTACCTCCATGAGCCTTACCATCGGGGTGATTTATTGCGAAGAAGAAAACCATTGAGAATGATTGAAAATTGAAAATGATTTGTGTTCGTTAGATGAATCTCTGATATGAGCATGGCGTCAATGTTGTGTTGATCGGGGAACTGCAATAGCTCGCATTAGTGCTGTGAAATGCCATTCGCATTCCAGAAACATATTTTTAGTGCAGTACCACTCATAGCTTCGACTAGTAAGGACGTGAAACTACCAACCGCGAGCGAACCGTGTGCTTATCAGTTAAAACCAAAAACAATTCTTCACAAACAAACAAACAAACAACCGCACAAAGCTAAATTTGAAAAAAATCCAAAACCAAAAATACAGCAGAACAGTTACAAAAACCAAAAACTCAGTAGGGCTCCTGCCCTGTTACACTAACAATGTCTCGACCACCAGACTTAAATAGTCTTTTGACGAACAAAAACAACAACAATAACCCAAAATACATCACAATCACTAGAACCGACCAACCAAACAACAAAACATTTAAAAAAGTAAATCCATTTGTAATTAAAAAAGTGATCGACTACCAGTGCAACGGAGAAGTTGACAATTGTAAAAAAACAAGAGGTACCGTTGTTAATCAAAACAAAAAACACTATGCATGCACAAAGACTATTGAAACTAACTTCTTTCACCGACTTTCCTGTCACAGTAAGCGAGCACAAAACACTAAACTTCTCTAAAGGTGTAATCTATTCGAACGAACTTCGCAACATCGATGAAGCAACAATGTTGGAAGAGCTACAAGCACAAAATATTGTAGAAGTGCGGAAAATAATGAAAAAGGAGAACTTCATACTCAAAGAAACCG